TCTTTTAAAAGGTAATTTATGGTGAACAAGACACATTGAGTGTACGAGTGTATGTGAGTCAGAGAAAGACTGGTTGTGTGACAGTTTCCTGACCAGGATGTTTTGTGTCTACAGGTGTCCAGTGTGAGGTGCAGCTGGTGGAGTCTGGGGAAGACCTGGTGAAGCCTGGGGGATCCCTGAGACTCTCCTGTGCAGCCTCTGGATTCACCTTCAGCAGCACCTACATGAGCTGGGTCCACCAGGCTCCAGGGAAGGGGCTGCAGTGGGTCGCATTTATTAGCTATGATGGAGGTAGCACAGGCTATGCAGACTCTGTGAAGGGCCGATTCACCATCTCCAGAGACAATGACAAGAACACACTTTATCTGCAGATGAACAGCCTGAGAGCCGAGGACACGGCTGTGTATTACTGTGCCATTGACACAGTGAGGGGACGTCAGTGTGAGCCCAGACACAAACCTCCCTGTAGAAGGGGATTCTGGACCACCAGGGGGCGTACACTACTCACCATTTTGTCTTTAAGGCCCAGGAGCAGATGCAGCTGGAGGATATGGCAGGTTTCCTCTCAGGATCTGGGGCTTCCTCTCTAATTATAGCTGTTTCCCCCAGGGAGCCTCTCCGCACACATAGTTCTGTGCTACTTATTCATTCTCTGACAAACAAACAGTTGAAGAACTGCTATACTAGCAAGCACAAAAGTCAGTGTCACTTGCACTTGTTTGTTCCTGGACCTAAATATGAATGAATTAAAATATCTCCATGCAAATCCCCTGAATACGTTCAAGAGTCCCAGCTGCACTCACTGTGTATCAGGAGAATCCAGCTCAGTGTGCGAGCTTGCAAGAAGTGCACTCTGGATATGGGGCTACGGTGGCATCAACAATCCAAAGCCAGAGAAGAAAGATCCCTGGTGGGGCTCACTGTCTTAAACCATGTTCCCAACAATGTTAGTGGCAGCGTGGGAAACAGAGGTACCCCACCAGGACATGGTGTGGATGTAGAGTCTGTTGATCACACACACACACACACACACACACACACACACACACACACAACATGAGAACATAAAACTTTCATCCCTTTTACCATTTTGTCTGTTGAGAGCAGGGCAGGCCTCTCCTCAAGTCATAACTGCTTGGATGGAGCCAAGGAAGGACACTGGCTCAGGGGGTGTGCTGTGGGTCAGTGGTGGGAATGGGGTTCTGTTCATGGGAAGGGTTTATGTGGAGCCAGTCTCCCACCTGCATCAAAGGAGGGAGAACTGGTGTGTTCTTGTTAGAGTTTCCATCTGTGAGGCAGGAAGAGAAGAGTGAGGAATGAAGGTCAAGGAGCTAACAGGCAATAATCAAAAGATACCAAGTGATGACTAATTCGACTAAACACGTGTGAAAATGGCAAGAACAAAAGAGAGAAATGGCCATTCTGAGTAGAAAATGATTCGAATCCTCGGAAATTTAGAAGAATAATCCATGGAAACATCACAAGTAGAAAGATAATGATAGAAGTGGACTGAGTTCTACCTGTGTCTGCAGTGGAAGCTGTCCACTCCCCAAGGTCACAAACTGGTTCTGACGTCCTTGTGTTTGCTGTGTGCACACAGAGACCAAAAGGTTCTACTGGATCCATGAGAATCCTCAGGCTGAGGTGCTGGATGGGAGGAGCCTTCCACCTGCGGGGAATAATGAATTATCTTTCAGTTGCTGGTATCAGCTCAATGTGTATGACCTCGACCATCACAGGTTGAATCCTAAGGATATTGTGATGGATCGAAGAGGACCAGCCTTAGGGAGTCATTTAGGACAGACAGTGCAGTCTCATGACAGGATTAGTGCCCTTATACCACAGGACTGGGAAAGCTCCCTGCCCCCTGATCCCATGTGAGGTGACAGGGAAAGAACACACTAGGAGGTCGGTGCGCTCCAGACACCAAATGTCTGCACCTTGACCTGGACTTCTCAGAATCCAGAACTGTGAGGAATGGGTGTCTGTTGTTTAAAACCATGCATTCATTGTGCATTGTTACAGCAGCTGGAACAGACTGAGACATTAGTGACAATGAACCCAAGCACTGATGCTCTGGCATTTCCCTGCTGCATTTGTTGGGAAAAGTACCTGGTAAGTTCCTTCAGTGAGGTTGCAGGATGGATTTCTCACATGTTCCCTCCTGCAGATAGGACTAACCAGGACTCTCCTAGGACTCTGTGAAAGGACACAGTGGACACACAGAGGGAGAAACTTGGTACAAGGCAGTCAGGGTTTCCCAGAATATGTGGAACTTTAATTTAAGGATGATGTTTTTTAAGTCTTCCACAAGATGTGGATGTGATGACTGTGAGATTTGAGTCTGATCATCACTTTATAGAGTTGTGCTTTACTGAAAGCCCTGAGGTTAAGCACCTTTGTTCCCTTGCTCCTTCCAGATTCTTTCCTTGTCTGAGTTGTATTTTGTGAGTTTGACTACACTATGCCTTGGAGATAGTCAGCTTTTGTTGAATTTATTAGGAGTTCTCTGTATTACTTGGATTTTGATGTCTGTGTCCTTCTGCATATTAGAGAACTTTTTGGCTATTATTTTATGCAATAAAACTAATCCCCCTTTTATCTCTCTTCATCTTCTGTGGCTCTTATGCTACAAATGTTATAATGTTTTAATAAGTCCCTGAGTTCCTAATCTACCTTCATGGCCCATTTCCTTGATTTCCCTCTTCTTTTCACTCATTTTCTTTAATTTTATCTTGTATACCACAGATTCGCTCCTCTCCTTCATCCATCCTCATTTTTTATGGCCTCCACTTGGGATTGCATCTTGGATTTAGTTGTTTGTGGGTTTTTGTTGTTGTTGTTGTTGTTTTAATTTGGGCCTGATTCAATTTCAGTTCATTTATCACTGCAGTAAGGGATTCTCTACTGTCTTCTATCCATTTTTAAAGCCCAGTTTGTATCCTCAAAATCATTGTTTTAAGGTCTAGTTCAGACATCATACCTATATTTGTATTGACTAAAAAGCCTGTGCATGAGATTTACTTCCTATTCATTCCTCTGGGGTAAATTTTCCATACTTTCATTTTTTTCAGAAAATAAAAAAAGAACGGGGTAAGAAAATCAAGAAACGAAGATCTTGGGTTTGTTTTGTTCTGCTTCTAAAAAAGAATATAGGTCAAAAAATAAATATAATTAAATATAAAATAAAGTAATAATAGAAGAAATTAATAAAATAAAAGAAGAAACAAAGCTAAATCCTACTTCCCCTAGAGCTGAAAATTCACAGCACTCAATGATCATTAGACTTGGTGAGAAGGAATAGATTCTGCTGATCTCAGGGAGGTGCCTGTTGTGGTCCTTCTCAGGGGTTCTGGCCTAGTGGAAATGCCCATCTTGGGAGCTGGGTGCAGCGCTTGGTGTACGCGGCTCTGGCTTCAAATAGGTAGAGTTGTTTTGCACTGATGGGTCTGTTAAATATGGCATCTGCTCTAAACCGGTGTTGTAAGTTCGCACCCTGCACTCTTCATTGAGCCTTCACAGAACAGCATTCAACCCTTTTTTGTCCCCAGTGTCCATTTGAACCCTGTGTTCACCCTGCCTTTGTTGGAGCTGCTCTATCTCAGGCACATGAGTGAGTTTCAAAACTTCAAAATTCGGGACTCACATGGGGTGAACCTATGCTATTCTCTAGCAGAGGGTCTCATAGCCTTTTTGCCTTTTCCCTGCAAGTCTCAGGAAAGAGGTCACATGACCACACAGTGGTTCACCATTTATGGCAAAGCAGAGCAGAATGCCTGCACTGAAACTCACCCTTTGACCAGGTTTCAGGCTCCTATGCCTAGTAACTATGCATCACATTAGTGCTGCACATTCTTCTGGCTCAGGGGATCCTCAGACCCTGTATTTCTGCCCCACTTTGCCACTTCAGCATCTTCATTCCAGGAACATCCCCACAGTAACGGACTTCGAAAAGTTCAGAATTTGCTCTCTGCTTCTATAATACATTGTCGGTAGCTTCAGGAGGCTCACTCTTTCCCGGTGGTCATTCCCACACCTGTATCACCCAGAAGACAAATCTGCACACCTCCTACATTCCAAAAGGTGGTTGATTTTCTATTTGTACACTTGTAGTTTTTGACTCTCAGACCTCTGACTGATTTCTTGGTTGCTCAGAATGACTTGATAACTCCCTAGCTGTGTTCCAGGGTTGAGACAAGTGTAGGGACTCTTACCCTTACTCCATCACACTTTCTCCCTCCCTTGTTTACTTATAGTAAATAGGGTGTGATAAATTCCTTCTACTGTATATGCTGAAGCTCAGACTTGTAATCTGTTGTTGTATTTCAGAATATCCTAACTTATTTCCCCCTCTACTCTGATCCAGTGGTTTTATGACTGAATTGCTGTTTGAGTGTGCAAACCCATTAAGTATTATCAATTATTATATTATTTTGCAGTAAGTATGTTTCACATATGTGGCCCATATACATATCCTGACTCAATGAGTGGCACAGAGAAGGATGCACCTCCTGGCAATGAGCCCAGGGCTTTGAACAGGATATGATGTGTGCTCCCAGAAGTCAAGAATTGCAGGAACATTATTAGCATCACACCATGTCGCCCTACAGGGGAAGCAGGTGCATTTTGGATGGTATGGCAAGTCAGCAGTCTTCCTGATGCACAGGAACAATTCAGGAATGGAAACTGGGGGATCTGGAGGCAGAACAGAAGTCCTTGTCTCATCCAGGAGGGTCAAAGTTTTTCTTCTATTAGACTGAATTTCCTAAATTTGAAAGAAGCTGTCAAAAACTTAGAGTGGAGAGGCAGCCTGACTTTCTTGGTTTAGGATGGATATGATA